CGCCGCCCCGCGCCCACCCCGCGCCGCCCCGCCGGGCGTGGGGCCTTTGTCCTCCAGGTGTGAGCGCTGGCTGTGTGGTTTCGCTCGGTCTCTCCTCTGTCGCAGGTGACGGGGCTTATAGCCGCCTCACCTGTGCCGGTCACTGGGCTTCCCTGTCCGGGAACTTTTCTCCTCATGCCTGCTGCCCACTTTTTATTGGGGGTCCTTGCTTTTCTGTGTGGTCAAGTGGGTGCACCCCTCTGTAGCGACAGGGAGAGAGCCCTGGGCCAGAGGCCTGGCGTGGGGGCTGGCCCTCCGTGCCCCCGGGGGGCCTGCAGCCGGGCAGCTCTCCCCCACGAGGGCCTGCGGGGTGGCGTGTTGGGTGGGAGACTTTTCTTTTGCACATTTAGTAACAGCTCTGTGAGGCTAGTTTGTAGGCTCACAGCAGAACCAGGGCACAGAGAGCCTCATCCGCCCTGACCCTCATGGGGAGGCCCCCATTGTCCACACCCCACCGGGGGTGTGTTCACCAAAGCAGGAGAACCCCAGCTCCCAGCACCCTGGACCCGGGGAGCTAAACTTGGGCCCCGCAGCCCTGTTTTCGGGGTGCACCGTCTTCGGGGAGTGCAGCTGGATGCCAGTGTGGCCAGGGGGCCTCGGGGTCTCTCCCCCCACCGTCTGCGGGGCTGGCTCACACGAAACCTGTCCTGGCCGTGCTTCTGTGGGCCGAGGCTCGGGAGCGTGGCGCTGAGCGCGGCGAGGAGGGCGGCTCTGGGCGGGAGCCGGCGGCCCAGCGCAGCCTCCGCCGTTCCTGGCGGCTGGCCTAGGGGCTTCTTCCCAGCAGGCTCCTGCCCGCCTTGCCCCTGCCCTCCTCCTACCTGTGGGCTCAGTCTCCCGGGCCAGCGAGACCGGGGGGCGGCGATGCCTCGGGCACCCGTCTGCCTTGAGCCCCCAGATTCCGGTGCCCGGTGCCCGCGGGGCCGGGCCCACCCAGCGGCAAGGACCCCCCCAGGTGTCCCCCTGCGGCCCGGGAAGGGCGCCTTTCTTGCACGACTTGCCGTTCGCCGTCAGGGTGTCGAAAGGCCTCCTGCCTTCTCCCCTCTTCTCTTCCGCGGTGTGCAAGAGTGTCTGTGATCACTTTGCACGTTGGTGGTGTTTGGGGGCGGGGTGGGGGCAGAAGCCAGTGCCAGCTCGTTGTGTCTGCCCGGGGTCACTGTGAGGCTCCCGTAAGTGTGCAGGGTCTCGCCCTGCCGCCGTCTCATCGCAGGGCGAGTGCCCGGATTCACTTATGTTGGTGCTGCTTATACTGGGTGATGTTTCTCTCAAAGAGAGTTGGGGGGTCCTCTGCATTCGGGGGGTTCCCTGACGGTGGCGACCTTTGCTCGGAGGGGTGGGGGCGCAGGCGTGGGGCCGCCGGCCGGGCCTCAGTGCGTGTCTCCCCGGCTCTGCAGGTCCCGTGGCCGTCATCAGCGGCGAGGAGGACTCGGCCAGTCCGCTGCACCACATCAACCACGGCATCACCACGCCCTCGTCGCTGGACGCCGGGCCGGACACCGTGGTCATCGGCATGACACGCATCCCGGTCATTGAGAACCCCCAGTACTTCCGCCAGGGACACAACTGCCACAAGCCGGACACATGTGAGTGTGCAGGGGACTTGTCCCTCAGGGCGGGCAGGGCGGCTGGCCAGAGCCCCGTGGCTGCGGCTCTGGAACCTTCTGGGGCGACCTTCCTCCTGCTGCAGCCCTCCCCTCTCAGGGACTCTCCCCTTCTGTCTCCAAACGTGCAAGTCTCCGCGCAGGGCTCCACTGGGCGGCTCCGGGCAGAGCGCGCTGGGGGCGGGCAGCCGTGAGCGGCCCAGGGCCGGCGGCC